TAATTGATCTGTATCTGCAGTAAGAAATACTTCATTAACTGTTCGTGTTGTTGATATCGTTATTGATAAATCCTTAAGATTGAATTGATTAGATCTTATTAATAATATTTATATTTACTTGAACATCAACTGGAAAATCATTCAATTCAAGATTTTCAAGAAAAACCCCTTTAATTTTTCTCATTTCATAAATCATCGGTGTATCAATCCCATCATAGACAACTTTATGCCAAGTATCATTTTTTAAATCACCCACAGAATTATCAACATATAATAATGGATTCCAAAATTTACTTGGTTCGAACGAATCAATATCCTAAATAATATTACGAAAAAAATAATTTGAATGAATTTTGATATTTTTGTGCGTCTTTTTTTCTTATAGAATAAATTTACGTACTTACATGTCACTTACCGTTCCTTTCAAGGTCGGTTCAGACCAACGTGCTTGAATAAATGCTTCAGCTTGAAATTGTTCTTTTAATGTATCAATTTCTCCAAGTTTTAAAAATACTAAACGTAATTCAACCGTTACCTAAAATTAAATTAAATCGAAATTAGAAAAAAAAAAAAACACGAAGAAAATTGTTGAACTTTATCTCTTCTTCTTCATTTTCGTATTCATTCAACCATAACGTGTTGACCTGATCTAAACGGTCACTCTTTTCTCATTCAAATCTATTCATATTAAATATTGATACACAATGGAAAATCTGTATGCAACAAAACTTGTTTCACGTTCAACTAGTTTTATTATTCCACTTGGAACTCTTTTAATTTTATTTGGTATAACATCAATTATTTTATCATCAATTGATCTAAGTTATAGTCGTTCAACTGTTTATTATTCATCAATAAATAATGTTATAACGCCATTATCTGTTTCAAGTGCTCATTCTGAACAATCAATATGGCCAACACTTGGTAAAGGAATATGGTGTGGCCTTTTTTTTATTGCTCTTGGAATATTTGCATTAATCTCACATCGTGAAAAAACTTTAATATCAATGAGAATTTTATCATGTCTTTCTTTCATATCAATATTTATTAGTCTCTTTCTATTTTTATCATCAATTCTTGTTTTTCAACGTTATATATTCGAAGGTCGTCTTAATGCTGATCAAAGAACATCAATGGAACAAAAAGAACTTATAATCAATGTTCTTCTTTTTATTTGTGGAGTTTTATCATTACTTGTTTCATTAATATTAGCCATTGGGACATTAGTTTGTGGACAATTTTGTCAACCAAAAATCGATGATTTAGAACAAATTGATAGTGTTTATCAACCACCACCACCACCTGCTTATGCAGCACCACATTATTAAGAATTATATATCTTAGTTAATATTACATCACTATCACTTTAGATAAGATTTTTTTTTTCTCTCATTTGAAAAACTTTTGTCGTTTTTTATTAATCATTTTGTAGAATGTTATGGTTAGAATAATTAAACTAGCAATAATGAATTTTCTTTTCTTTTCTTTTGTTAATACTCAAAGGACATGACTATTATACTATTTCTTATCTATTGTAATTTCTTCTGGACCAATGAAATTTACTAATTAGATTCATTCGGTTCTTGCTTGTCAGATTGAATAAAATGTAGTTAAAAAGAATTCTTTGAATTCTTCATGAATATTTATAGAAAAAATAAATTATTGAGTCATAAAGAATTATTCTTTCTCATTGACTTTTGTTTTTGAAAAATAAATATGAAAATCTTACCCGATCAAGTTTATGTACACCGGAATTATCATCAACTAGTCGTGAATCTTGTTTTTCACATACTTTCGTAATATAATCTTTAATTTCTGTTAAAACTTTAATATTTCGTTTAAAATTATTATTTAATTCATGAAGTGTAGTTGTTAAATCACGTAGATCAGTTGTTGAAGTTGAATTTTGATTTCGTTTTGTAGAAGAATATTGGTGAGTTGGTGATGATGCTTTTAAAGTATGAGATGTTCCTCCGCCAGATGAGTTCATCGATGATGATCCAATACGTGTTAATTTATAATGGATCAATAACGATTAATAATGAATATATATTTAAAATCAATCTAAAATAAAATGATTATTAATTAATAATTGTTTTTTTATTTTGTTATTTTAACAGATGTCGACAAATTTATGATTTATTTTTTTGAGAGAAAAATAAATAAATAAAAATTTGTTATATTGGATAATAAACATCGTTTTTTTTTGTTCTATAATATAGAAATACATACTTAATAGAATATAATTGTTTGATGAATGTTATGAAAAGAAGCAAGAAAAAAAAGTACATAATATTCTTTTCTTTAGAAAAAAAAAGAAGAAAAGTCATCTAGTTTCTTTTTCTATTACTAGGAAATTGTTTGGTGCCTGAGAAACGATCTCATCTTTGTTTCTCCGTCAACAACTAGACTTGTGCGACTCAATATCCTTGTTGATGTTAATAATGAGAAGATGAAATGGTTGTAATGATGAGGCAAAGAGAGAGAGAGAGAGAAAAGATATTCTATCCTAAGACTTGCTTATATATATATCTAAGGAGAACAGCAGCGGCATAATACATCGATCATAAAAAGACAAGGCAAAAGCTGGTATATAACTGGTAAAAGGAAAAAGGAAAGAGTGTGTTGTTCGGTTTGACACATAGATCAACAACTCTATACTAAATGACTAACATTATTACTTAACAGACACTTTCGTTTATATTGACTAAAGGTGTTCTTATATCGATTAGGAAAGAAAACAAAACAGGAAATGAATTTCAAATAAATGTCTATATTGTGATCTTTCGATTTTTACATAAAGGAAAAGAAAACTTCGTTTCGATTTTTTTTTCTTTTTTTATATTATGCATATGATCATTTATATAATATCTTCATATCAAGTAATAATATCAATTTTCAGATGAATATTTGTATATATATATTATTTTAATAGAGGAAAAAGAAGCTAAGAATATAAGTGTTATTGAAGATTTTGACCTTGATACATTGATGATAGAATTGACATAAAAAACGAAAAATTTGACATACCCTATCAAACATTATCAATCAATCAATATTTTTTAGATGCGCCACTTATTGTTGTTGATAGATAAAACCAAAAATAACTTATTATCTTATACTTTCTATATTAACATATAGATAATGCAGTAAACTAGAGAATTATTTATTTACGGATAAATTCCTAAAGAATAGTTAAAGTTTCTCAAATTTTCCATTTTATACAATGATTATTTATCATGACGCGGATAACTTCATATAAAAATATGATTCATTGATTATTCAGACAACATGTATTTAGACTTAATAGAATATTATAAAGATTATATCGTTGTGTTAATGAGAGATAAGATTTAAAAATATAGAGTTGTTTTTGTTAATTAATTTTATAAAACTGAATGAATTCGACATAGTTTATTTCTTGATATAAATATAATCGTGATTTTTCTTCTATGGTGTTATTCTTCTATATTATTGTCATACTGGAGAATAAATATTCTTAGTATAACTTGTTCGAGTGAAGAACACATTATGTTTTGTATTAATTAATAAAAATAGAAAATTTTACAAATTTTTCGTTTTTCTGATTGAATAAAATAAGTTCTTAAGTTAATTATTTTTATTCAACTAATGTTTATCACACAAATTCGTTGCTGATATCAGTATAAAATAAACATTTAAACCACAGTGTATTATACTTCTTATGAAAATAAAATGAAAACATTCTTTCGCTCTCTCTCTCTTTGTCATCAGATGTTTATTCTTTCATTCTATACATGACGCGAATATTCGAGATGTATGTGATAACCTCTTCTAAAGGTACATTGCCTTTCCTTTGTTTTGACTCTAATCGAATAGTCCAGAATACATCTTCTTAAATCAATATAATTTTTCATATGAATCTTCAAATATTTCTTACTATAGTTATTATTGATTTATATACTAATATTTTAATATGATATATAAAACTGATTTTAAAATCGACTAAAATAATATTTTTCATATTTGATTTTTTGTTATAATATCAGTCAGAAATGGAGATATTTGAATTATTTTGTCGAACATTGCCTTCTTTTTGTATTGATACATACAAATACGATTGAATTAAAATTCGAAGAATATCATCATGAAACTTTTTCTTCATTTTATATTCTCGTTTAAAATCTCAAATACATATTCATAACAATCTTATAATAAAACAAAAACATATGCTTAAAATCTAAAATTTAGTTTTCTTTTTAACAATAAAAATTGTTGAGTTTTATTCGATTCTACCAATGGTATACTAATAGTAATTTTGAAACATGGTATTATATAATCATTGTAGAAGAATAAGAAATCAATGATAATTAGAATGAAAATTAAAAGTGTACTTAGAAATGATTCAACATATGTTAAACAATATTATCTATTCTATAGTATAAAATACGTTTTCAAGCAACATCTAATTTTGAAAAATAATTAATCTGTTTAAAAAAGAGAAATCACTGTAATTTGTTTTTAAACTTTTGTTGATGACACAGATTTGTCTGTTTTTTAATAATATTAATGGAAATAATTTTTCATATAAAATAAATGTTAAAGAGTGTAATACAAAAAAAGAATCTCGTATGATTACTAGACTTGAATTGTTAAAATCTATTATGTAAACATATTTACCTCGATCGAAATGGTATACTTCGAAAATAAAAGAATATGCTATACGAGATATTTGTTGTATACTAACAGATGACGAATAAGTATACGTTTGCCTATTCATTCTTCTGTATTCAACCCCTCGATCGAAATGACCTATCTAGTAAAAGAAAGAGAATACTATAGTCATATATGCATAAAGATAGAAAACACAGAGTGATATGATATCATATGATATCACTCTCTCTTTCTTTTCTCGTAATCCCTTGTTCAGTGAAGATAGGATAGGAGTATAAAAAGGTATCTCTAACTGCATATCATCACTATTCTCCTCTCAAGTGAATATTAAACTAACAAGCTATTCAATGGCTATGGTATGTGTATAGATATTCTTTTCTATTGAATATTTTTATCTAAAATATTTTTAATTTAAATAGATTGCATTTATCTGCTTACTCGCTTTGTCGAGCTCAGCTTTCGGACGATATGCTGATTCATATGGATCTGCACCACTTACACGAACAACTGTTATGCGTGATTTACCAATTCAAAGCAACTACGGATCAAGCTTCGAAACAGTTCAACGAGACATTCAATTAACACCAACAACACCAATTGAAAAACCAATCTCAAGTGGTTATGATTCATACTCAGCTCCACGCAAAATGATCGTTCCACAACAAGAACAATCATATGGCAAACAAGTCTTCCAATCACGTGTCTTCCCAACACAATCAGAATTATTAGCTCAACAAAACGATTTATTAAAAGCTAAAATCGCTGAATCAACCATGCCAACTGAAGCTGATAACCTCTGTCGTGGTCAAATTGCTGATACCGTCATCCCATTAGATGGTGGTCGACGATTCATTGTCTGTCTTGGTGAAAGCAAAGGTTATGAACAATTCTGTCCAAAAGGTCTTTTATATCACCCAGAACAACGCCGATGTGAACGTAAATTGGGTCCACTCGAAAACTTCTGTTCTTCATCACCATGTCTTAACAACGGTCAATGTATCCCAACTGATGGTTCATTCAAATGCCAATGTGCCACAGGTTTCGATGGTCGTATCTGTGAATTAGATGCTACAGTTTGTCACACACAACAACCATGCGGTACATCATTCGACGCTAAATGCCAATCATTCCGATGGGAAGCTGCTCTTACACACATGTGTATCCTTCAAGGTGGTCGATCATATGGTCTTACATCAAGCCAAGGTACATATTTATTTATTAGTTAAAAAAAAAACTAATTAAATTCTTCTCTTATTTATTTAGTTCACCCAAGCCCATGCAAAGGTACTGATGGTACATTCCCATTAGCTTTCAGTGATAAAGGTTTCATCATGTGCGACGGTGACTCAATGTTCGTTGAATCATGCCCAGGTGGTACACTTTGGGATGACATTAACAAATCATGTGTCTGGCCAGACCTTGTCGGTGTTATCGGTGCCTCATTCGATGAAACACCAAAAATGACATCGTCATACGGTTCATCATACAGCACACCATCATTCGAACAACCAAAAATGACATCATCATACGGTTCATCATACAGCACACCATCACTCGAACAACCAAAACTCTTCCGTGATGTTCAAGTTAAATCATCATATGGTGCCCCACTTCAACAAAAAACAGTCTTCCTTCAAGATGAAACTCCAGTCACCAACTACGGATCAAAAACCGAATTCACATTCCCACAACAAGATCGTATTGAAACACCAGTTCAATCATACTCATCATACTCCGCTCCACAAATGATCAAACCAAAATCATTCTTACCAATCCGTCAACAAGAACAACGTGTTCAATCAAACGGTTATTAAATAACAACATCAACAATAACGGCATCAGAATTGAGAGTCGAGAGTTAGTTAGTTAGTTAAAATTTTCTGATGTTTGTATGCTCTTACTATTAGGTATTTTTCCCTCTTCATTTTTATTTTTTGTATTATGAAGTCTTAACTTTTCTGGAACTTTTAACATCTTGTTTGTTTTTGACAAGCAAATAAATTCCGGTTAAAGCAAATTATATTATCTTTATTTATTTATTGATTTATTTCGAAAGAATTTTCAACAAAAAGAAAGTTTTATGATTTATGAGAATATTTAAGTAAATAGAAACGATTTCGTTGAAATCGAAGTCGAAGAATATATAATTCTGTACGTAATGATATTAATTGATATGTTTCAATTCGAATTTGTTCATTGGATAAACGAATTCTTTCACATTCATTTTGTGTTATTGGCCAATTAAGTAAATGTTCATTTAAATTACTATGATCATATTGTTTTATATCATTTGAATTCGAATGTAAATATTGTAATTGTAAAATAGCATTGATTGTACTTAGACTTGGTTGTAAATGTGAATTTTTGAATGTATCTTCATATGATTGTTGTTGAGAAGTATCGAATGTTGGAAATGGATCAACACGATCAATTTGAATAATTTCATTTGGTGGTGGTGATGTTGGAGTTGTTTTTTCTTCGAGAAATTCTTCAAAATGTTCGATATTATCTTTTCCTTGTCGAGATTTTATAGAATTATTTAGTTTTTTATTGTTATTAACTGATCGAAAATCATCATCATCATCAGATATTAGATTTAATGTAGATCGAGTAGACTTTAAAATTTAAAGATTTATAATGAAAAATTGAATATATCTTACTCTTTTTGAAGATGATGTTGATCTAGATTGATCTCGTGATGGTTTTTCCCATTGCGATTGATCGGTAATCGTATTATAATAATAAATTCGTCCATTTGAACTTCGATGTGTTTCCCATAAACTAGTTGATTGACGTTGTTGTCGTTGAGAAACTTTATTTGATTTTTGATTATAAGAATGATATTGAAATGAAGAATTTCTATGCTTTGGTTTTCTAATTTGTTGTTGCTTAGGAAAATGATGATGTCGTTCGATTTTTCGATGATATTGTTGTGAAATTTTTGATAATTGATATTTTTTATGATAATGAATAATAGTTGGAGATAGAGGTGAAAGAGATGGAGAATTATCTCGATGAATAGCAACTGATACTGATGAGAATGCCATTTAACTTACAAATAAGTTAATTAATGTCAGTCAGCTGATTGATTTTGTTCTTCGTTTTTCTGAACAGAACATAAGAACAATATTTCGATTGTATTAAAGCTAAATTAGCGTTTATAATAAAATGAATATTGTTTAGATAATTCTATTGTTAGATATGATGAATGAATTTTTAACTCATAGTTTTCGACGAGAATTTATCTTAAATATTTTTATATTCAAATGCAATGAAAAATTTAAAAAGATTCGAGCGATCAAAATTTCAAACTGACTGATCGATTCTGTTCCATAGAGAATACGTCACGAATTCTTAAGTTTAATCTAAATTTTTCAGTGAATATCTACAAGTTCTGTAAAACTGAATATAAAATCCACTAGTGTTAAATAACTAAATAGATTCTCTAATAAACTTAAAGTAAAACTACCAATTTATATATTTATCTACAATTAGAGACATAAAGCTTCTGATCAAGAATTATGATCAAAATGTTCGGAGCTCTCTAAATTTGTGAGAAGTTTAACCCTTTACGGCCGGCTACAAGAAAACAACAAGTAACAAGTTATCTTTCTATATATTCTTTGTTGTTTAGTTATAGGAATCAATTTTTCACCGCCGACTTTTTAAAAAATGCTGTACCCCCCTACAGCAAAATTGTTACCTTTTGGCAACATTCGGCCGTAAAGGGATATGAGGTAAAAACTTCAGCTCGATTGTAACAACTTAACAGGAGGTCAGCAACTGGCAGGATTCAGTAAACCATCATTTTTCGTTACAGTCAAGAAAAAAAGTATGTAGAATTTTTGTAAACCTCGTAACTGCCGCAGCGATAATTTCTATGAAATCGAATGAATAAAAATTCTTTTAATTTGACATGTTTTATTTTATTCTATTTAATTTGACTTTATACAAAGTGTGAATAGTAAGAAAAATATTCATGAACGAAAAGCCGGTTTTTCTGTATATTCATATTGTAAGATTCGTATCTAAAATAAAAATAAAATAAAAATTCAATTAAAACTAAAAGAAAAATTATGAACTTCTTTGATAAGATTTTGAAAAAATTGTTCATATTGAGTAAAATCTTGTTGACATTGTTTCAATGCTTCTTCCATTTGATTATCAACATTTGTTAAAATACCCCAATTAATTGATGATATTAATGGAAATTTTTTAATTAATATTTCATCATTTTCATTTACATCAATATCCCAACTAAAATAAGAAGATTTAATTTATTAATTAATAAAGAAATTTCCTACCGTTGATTTTCTTCTTTTAATGAATAATCTTCTGTTAATGGTGGTTCAAGTATAATTGTATCTTGTGTTCGAATTCCAAGTAATTGTTTAAGTGAAGTTAATGGTGTTGGTGGAGTTTGTGTTGGAATAGGTACTAATGATATTGGAGGAGATTCAATTGAATTATTGATTAAATTAATTCGAGAAAATTCTTCAATTGGCCATGTTAATAAATTCGAACGAAGATCATTTGATAATGATAAATGCATTATATTTAATGAATGAAAATATCGTGGAAGATCATTAATAAGTCGAATATAATCACGAATTTTTAATTCAAGTCTATTTAAACGAATTAATTTATTTTTATTAAAAAATATATTTTATTTTTACTTTTCTAATTTTTCTAAAGGATTTTCTTGAATTATTTTATTTAATTGATTATCAATTCGATTAAGTTCATTTCGTTGTTCAGTTATTTGTTGATGAATACGTAATATTGGTTTGTCATCAAATTTTTTTATTTGTTCAAGTTCTGTTTGAACTTTTTTCTTTAAAAAATTTATATGAACTTCAACTGATTTACTCTAAATAAAATAATAAATAGCAAAATTATTTTTATAAATTTTATTTCTAAACTAACTGCAATCATTGCATCAAGGATAGACATTAATTGAGTTTGTTCATTTGATGCACGACGAGATAAAACTTCTCGTTTACTATCTTCAAGTCGATTACGAAGTTTACTACATTCCATACGAATATTTGCCAAATGTATAAATCTAATTGAAATATGTTACAAATAATAAAATTATATTTATCTTATACTGTTTAGTGAAATCTAAATTTGTTTTTGTCAATGCTGCTTCATAGCTTTCGATAATAGTTGAATTTGATTCTTGTTCATCTTTTTGTATTTTACTAAACAAAAAAAAAACAAATAAATTAAAATCATCAAGGGCGACTGCAAGATATTGACTCAAGAGTAGAATATATGGGCAAAATCACGCAAAACAGGATATTGGCCTCTCTCATTCCTTATTAATTCTATAAAAGAGCATTTTAATTAGAAAGTTTATTTTAGCATAGACATAGGTCAAAATGTGTGCTATTTCTACTGACTATTAGTTGAAATTAATTAGTGAATATCTCGCTTACCGTATGCTAAAAACATCTCAAAATTTCAGGGATGACTATTCAATATAGGCTGCATCTATGGTAAAATTTTCAGCTAAATCGGTTTCATAAAATTTCCTTCTTAAAAAATGACCCTTTATGGTTCCCATGAGTCTTTGAAACAGAAATTTTTATGTCAGTATATACTCTCGATTCTAAAAATAGATCCACACTTTTTGAAATTAATTTGTAACTTTCTGTTTAGTTATACGAGTAAATTTTTCTTCACACAGTCGTACTCTGTCACGTCGATAACGCTAGATGAGCGCTAATTATTGTAAAATCTAAGCGTAATTAGAAAAAGCGTTGTATAGCTATTTTGTAGTGTTAACAGTCGTCTACAAAATGTACTATTTAGTTTCGAAAGATAACGTCAAGATTCACTGAAATTTACAATTGAAGTACATGAAGTGAAAATTGATGTCCTTTTTACGTCATGTCGCTAACAAATGATTTTGCCCATATGTAAGTTTGTAGAGGAAGATTTTCGCTATTTAGTGATGCATTTATTATGAAATTCTATCATGCGCTGTGAGAAAAATAAAAGTATAGATTTAACAGATTTTCGTAGGTCGCTTCTTATCAGAGATGTCCATCGCGGTTGAGAATCTGCCGCTGCCGCATCGCGCTCCTATAAAAAGTTGCCGATACCGCGATGGGACTTCTAAAAATCTTCCGATTCTCAAGGCTGAGAGTGATTTAAACGAGTGCTGTTGCTGCTAATCGATGAGATTCGTCTAGTTTTACATTGCGGAATACGTCAATGTCGAGATTATGTGTAAATTTCGTAATTTTTAAAATTGTTTCCTGAAAGAGCTGCCGCGCCGCGAACGCCACGGCGGCAACGCCGCCATGGACATCTCTGCTTCTTATGCGATTTAGAATTTCTTTCACTATAAATGTGATTACTGCATTTTTGAATTATTATGTTTCGATAGAAGATCATACTATGTATTTTCTAAATTACAATATGACTTAAGTGTCGGGAAGACAAAAATACGAACTGTGAAAGCAAAACATCTATGAGCTATCAAACGGTATAAACACATTCATAACTGGACTAAGTATTGACTTGATTTTATGCTAATTTTCCTGTCATAGTGCACAACTAGATAGAGAAAGTCTTCCTCTACAAATCCACTTTTGGGTCAACATCTTGTAGTCGTCTTTAATAAATCTAAACTAACCTGAATTGATTAATTCGTTGTTGAATAAACGTATTCATACTCGAACATAAATCATTTAAATTAACTGATTGTTGAAATTTTCCTGTTAATAAAGTTTTTGTATTAAGTAATTCTCGAATTGATTCTAAAAAGTATATTTATATATAAAAATTCAAGTTCAGAATTAAAATTACAAAATTCACCTTGTTGATTTGTTTGATTTGTAAATGTTAATAAATTTAATTGTTCTTTATATTGTACTAATTGATTTAGATAAGAAACTAATTGACGATAAATTTGAAGTTGTTTATTAAGTGAAGATATAAGAATATATTCATCATTAATCATTGTTTGAACACGATTTAATTCATTAAAAATATTTGTTGATTGTTCTGACCGTGCTGAATAAATTTCACGTAAACGAAGATTGATTCTTTGTTCAATTTGTCCTTGTTGAATTTGAGCATTTTTATGTTGTTCCCAACGATCTGGATGACGTTCTTTTAATTCTGCAATTTGTATTGTTTCTTTTACTTTTCTTTAAAAAATTCAAAAATTTTATTATGAAAATTATCTTTTTAAATTAAGAAATTACTTGACATAATCAATTGGATGGCAATGTCGAATTATTTTTAACCAGATATCTTGTAAATTAGAATTTGATGTTAAACAATGTAAATTATCTCCATCGATATTAATATCAGCTAGTTATTTAATTAATTATGTAGAAATAAAAAGAGAGAGAAAATGAAAACTTACATTGAAATGATTGAAACCAACGAGCCAATGCATTAGCTGTTGATATTGAACGATCTTCACTTAACATATCTTTTTCTTTCTACTCGCGCTTTTCGTTATCGTGAAAATAAATCCAATGAATAAAGGAAAAATATGGAAATCGTTATAGAGGCATACAAAAATCATGAACAGATACGTATGGTTGGTTATTAACATCACAAACAGAAACGATTATATTGAGTGATGATTCATAGAATATCAGTCAAAAAGATCATAGTTTGACTATCTATATCACAGATCATTTTTTAACTTCTGTACTTTGATCATACATAACAAAAAGTTTATTTATTTAAAAAATATTATCTATTTCTGAATAAATTCAAGCTATTGAGATATTCATATGTTTCTTTCAATGTCGAATGTAACCTATTGGAAAAAACCAAATGTTTTAATAAAGATATTAGTCGACATTCGTTTTTAATAAAATATAATCTGTTTATGGATTTTATTTATCATAATCTTTATTACGTAAAAGACAAATAGTTTTTCACAATGGATCGGCTTATTTCTGTCATACTCCATCTACGAGAGCGAGTGAATCAAAATTTCTTTCTATACGTTTCCACTCACTTTGAATTGTATTTCACAAAAATATATCTTTTTCATCAACAATATTCAAAACAAAACGATTTCAGTATCGGCAAAAGTAAATATCGACTTTTTTCAAAACTAGTAAAATTTTGTTATTTAAATCTAATATTTATTTCTTAAATATACGAATGATAACATATTCGATTTTATTACATAAAGTTTCGATAAAATTTTCTTGTTAAATAAAAAATACTGAATGAATAATTAATTTTACTCAGTATTTTCATTCAAATTCTACTTTTCGATCAATGATCAGCATTGAATATAGAATTCAATTCTATATGCATCTCTAAAATATATTTCAGGATTTCTAAATTTTTCGAAAACTAAAAGAATTATTATTAATAAACCGATATTTAATATTCATATTTCATTAAAATTGATATACGTTCAAAATATTTTTTCTAATGGATCTATATTAATACATTTATTTTTGTTATATGTAATATAGCGTCTACCTAAATACATGCTCACATTTATTTAATCTCATCGTGATAAAGAAAAGAAAAATGACTAGTTGAAAATGAACCAATGATTTTAATTCAAATCATAGAATTCAAAATTTAATCGAAATACATTTTTCTATGTAGTAATATATATATTAAACTGAATTTTGTCTTTATTTAAGATTTAAGAATAATGTTAAGTCGATCTGCATATAGAAATTCGGCTTTTCGTTATATTATTTTATCTTATCCATATTCTCAACGTCTACTCAATCGATCTTCTTCATATCATCGTTATTTTCGTCTTATATCTTCAAATTTCTCTTCTATACAACAAACAATTCCAATACCATTATTTTCAAATAACAATTTCACAATGGTAAAAATTTCTTCTAATAAAATAAACATATTCCTATTTAATCAATTTAGTTAATTCCATGTCGTTTATTTTCCATAAGTTCATCTCGCTTGTCATCTGTTATTCAATTTAAATTAGCTGATATTGGTGAAGGTATACGTGATGTTGAACTTCTAGAATGGTTTGTTTCATTTAATAAGAAAAAATCTCTCATTCTCTGTATAAATCAGGTATGTTCAAGTAGGTGATCATGTTAAACAATTTGATAAAATTTGTGAAATTCAATCAGATAAAGCCAATGTAACAATAACTTCTCGATATGATGGAACTATTGTTAAACTTTATCATAATGCTTATGATGTAACTCGAGTTGGTGAACCACTTGTTGATATTAAAGTTAAACAAGAAATTGTATTATCAACTAAAACTAAAAGTAAGAAAATAAAATTTGATTTTTATATAAAAATAAATTGATTTATTTAGATCAAAATATTATGCAAAATGATATGTTTAATAAAGCAGTATTGAGAAAAGCTTCTTTAACAAATATTTTAGCTACTCCTACAGTTAGAAAAATGGCAAAAGAACTACAAGTAATTTATAATGAGAGGAATTATCTTTAGATTTTTTGTGTATTTTTAATTAGATTTCATTAGATGATATTCAAGGTACAGGAAAAGATGGAAGAATTCTTGAAGAGGATTTATTAATTTTTAAATCCAATAAATCATCGCTATCAAAATCTTCTCGATCTAGTTCGTTAAATTTTGTTTTTCAAAATAAATGAATTCTGTATTTTTTTATCTTAGATTCAAGAATTCCTCCACTCTCGCCTATATTTGCTAAACAATCATCGAAATCTCATTCAAATCTTAAGACAATTTCTAATCAACCTCAAATATCATCTATTACTGATCGAAAAGACATCCGTAAAGCATTCGTTCAAATTAAAACTCAAGCTAATTCAATACCACATTTCACCTATTGTGATCAATATGATGTGACACAATTAGTTCAAATAAGAAAACAACTCAATAACGAAAAAAGAAAATTTTCTCATATACCATTTATAATAAAAGCATGTTCACAAACTCTAATTGATTATCCAATTCTTAATTCTCATATTGATTCAAAATGTGAAACAATTCTATATAAAGTAAGATTTTAAATCTAAAAAAGAAATTTTTTATGAAAAGAATTTAATTAAAGGCTTCTCATAATATTGGTTTTACAATTGATGCAAAGGATGGTCCACTTGTACCAAATATAAAAAATGTTCAACAATTATCAATTAGTCAAATTGAAAATGAATTTAATCGTTTACAAGAACTTGCTCATCATGGAAAATTATTAACAGAAGATCTTACTAACGGAACATTTTCATTATCAAATATCGGTGATGTAAGATTTCATTTTTATTTCGATAGATTGATTATATTTATTATAATAGATTGGTGGAACATATGCTGTACCTATTCTTCTTCTACCTCAAGTAGCTATTGGTGCATTAGGAAAAATAATTGTAAGATATTTTCGAATATACTACTAAGTGAATCAACATAGATAAATGTTATAGGATTTATCTATGTTGAGTAGAGCCCGCCGGGTCCACGTTTTTTTGGACCCGGACCCGTTCAAAGAACTTTCGGTAGACCCGAACCCGATGCCCGGTCCGGGTTGGACCCGATTTCGACGAGCACTAGTCTGAACTCGAACTGTACCTTTAGAAAATTTTTTAGTCGCAGCTATCCAAAAGCCAAAACTGAGGAGCAAAAAAAAGGTCTTTGATTTAGTTTTCTGAAGACCTATCAACCAGTTTTCAAATCCAAAATGGCATTCTCATGTCCGCCGAGCAATATAAAAATATCGTGTCGATAATATATTTTTTTTTATCCGGACCTGGTCAGAAAAAGCTTCGAGACCCGGACCCGGTTAAAACAAAATTTTTAGACCCGGACACGGCGGGCTCTAATGTTGAGATATTTTTAAAATACTTCATGTTGTAATTATTTTAATTCATTTGATATTTTATAGAGACAACCAGTTGCACAAGATGAAGATGAATCTTATTCATATCGAGTTCGTTCAATGATGTCTGTTAGTTGGTCAGTTGATCATCGTATTATTGATGAAGGAACAATAGCTAGATTTTCAAATCAATTGAAATTTTTACTTGAAAATCCACTTCAAATTCTTATTAAGTGATAATTGATTTATGCGTTCTTTTTTCTAGCTATATTTTGAACAGTTTTTATGTTATTCTTAACTCTATATCATTTTCATTATTTTATAGATTGTTTTCGATTAAAAATTAGATGAAATAATGATAAAGATATTTAAATTGAATTTCTACCTGAGTAAAAAGTACTTTTTTCTTTTCGTATTTTTATTTCATAGATCTTATGAATACCTTTGGACTTCAACTCAGCTGAGTACAGATAAGTTAGTCAGATGTTTAACATTTTACGTTTTTCACATAACTCAAGATATTTATTAGATACACACTAACAAAAGAAAATTTTCTTCTTTTCTTATATATCATTGATATTTATATGAATTAAAATTGTCCGTTGATAATTACAAGATCATATGATAGAGAATATAAATTAACACGTGGCAGACAAATAATTTAAAGCAAAAAAAAAAAAAGATAAGATTCTCGTCGAAGGACGCATAATTTAACCTTTACCTTCTTTTATCTTTTTTTCTTCTTTGTATACATAACCTGTCTCTGCTATTGGATCTGATAGTTGGAGAGAGAGAAAAAGATCTATTTTATATCTCTGTATAAAAGGAAGTGTTTAGTCTTCTTTAATATATTAGGTAGCACGAGAATTTTGAGTGATAAGAGACATTATTTTTAGTTTACCTACTAAGAAAAAAGATTTTATATGGATACAAAACGAGAACCAGCTCCTAAAACTATCAAAGATATTAAAAAAGATTTTAAGGAAACACTTAGTACTATGCCTATTGATAAAAATGAAACAACAATGCCGACAAATAAAAATATTCAATCAGGTATAAAATTAACTTTTTTATTTTTTTAAAAAAAACGATAACTTTTTCTAATTTTAGGAGGACCAAACACACCAGCTTCGTCAGTTAACACAACAGGAAAGTATTGGATGAAAATTTTTAGTATGTCACAACCTAAACCGTAAAATATTTTATAAACTTTTTTTGGTTTAAAAAAAAATATACATTTAATTTAGAACATCATCATCTACAAATGGTTCAACGTCAAATGGAACTTCAAATCATCAACCTGAACTTGATATTTGTTATATTACACCAAGAGTAATCGGTAATCTATTATATATTTATTTAATTGAGAAGATGGTCTTTTAATGAATATTATTTTAGTAATGACAACACCTCGTGACAATTCATCTGATGTATCATCTCGTTCAACAGCTGAATCAATACGTGATATACTTGATACAAAACATCCTAATTGTTATATGCTTTATCTTCTTGATCAATCTTCAAACAATGAATCATCTTATCCAAAAGAAATCTTTCATAATCGAGTTTGTGTTTTGAAATTAACTTTATTTAAAAAATAAATTGAATATTTTATTTCAAAGGTTCTTGAAATACCATTATTTGATGATAAACAATCACCATCTTTAGTTAGTTTATTATGGTTTTGTCAAAAAATTACATCATATTTACTTGAATCACCATCAAATGTCGTTGTACTTGATTGCAATGTAAGTTATTTAGAATTCGAATTAAAAGAAATTTTTTTCTTTTCAAATAGGATGGAAAAAATCAATTAGCATATGGAGTATGTTCATTACTTGCATATCATAAAATCTTACCACAAGCTGATCAAATTATTAAATATTATCAACATCATCGATCTTTAAATTCATCATTAACAATGTCACAGAAAAGGTTTGTTAATTTTTATTTGAATAAAAATAATATTTTTTTTATATAGATATATTCAATATTTATGCGATTTATCACATGGTATTATTGAACATCCACATTTTAATAAATTAACTCTTAAATCAATAAATTTATCACCTGTACCACTTGTTAATATAAAAAAGTTTGTTATTCGACTTTATTAAATAAAATTTAATGATTTTTCTTGTTGATTTATAGAAATAGTTGTCGCCCATTCATTGATATATATGATCAAGAACATAAAAAGATTTTTTCAACATATCAAGAAATACCAAAACTTCGGTTAGGAAATTTTTCTTTTCCTTATTTATAAAAATATATTTTTGTTTTCAAGAGTTTATTATGCATCGGATACTTGTATTACTATTCCAATAGATCTTCAATTTGATGGTGATATAACAATTCACATAACACATGCAGCACTTTGTGCTCCACGTCACACTCATGTAAATTTATATTCATTAAAAATAAGAAGAAGAATTCTATTTTAAAATTTTCTATTAGGAAGGTGGAGTTCGTATATGTGAATTAACAGTAAATTCAAATTTTAGTACATTAAATCATCCGGAATTATCATATTCAAGAAATGAATTAGATGAAATTGATCATAATGAAAAAAATCCAACTCTATTTCGTATTACACTTGATATTATTAATCAACAACAATCGTCAATCAATCGACAAGATTCATTTACAAAAGAATTAGACAAAACATTTAAACAACCTTTAGCGTTATTTCGAGATGAAGATGAATTAAAACAAAAAACAAATGATTTTAGTAAGTAATCATTTTTTTGTATTTGATTTATATTATTCAAAAAAATAATTCTAAATTAGGTGAGATAATTGAGAAAAAAGAAGTTCCAGTATCTCCTGCACCTGTTGTTGTACATCGTTTGTCAAAAGGAAAAGAAGATTCAATGTCATCGCAAGGTAGTCGATTTTCTGATTCATTTCCAGGTTTACCACAATCTCCACAACCACCATTTTCTAATCCTTTATACAATCCATTTAAACAACATGCAAATATAAGTCCAAGATCATCACAAATTCCTTCATCACCAATATCATTACCAATCGATGATAAACAAAATAAAGAAGAAAATAATACTGCTCCTCTACTTGAAATTAATGGAAATACTCCAGAGAATGGAAAGATTTTTGTAAGATCCCCATCATGTGATCCACAACAACGTGGATTTTATTCAAGTACTGATTCAGGACGAAATCTTCTTGATGATGATTTACATAATGACAATCCTACTTTACAAAATACTTTATCACAACCAACTTTACGACCACCTATATCAGCAACAAAAATTCCTGAAACACAAAAACCATCGCGTAAGAATTGTCTCAAACATTTATCATCTATTTTTCAATATTGTTATTTTAATATTTTAGCTGCAACTGAAGAACCTATTCCAACATCAACTAAGCCTGATTATACCGTCACGATGAAAACAGATATTCCTCCACCCACTAAATCAAAACCAAGTAATAAAAAATATTTTTTTAGATACATTTCATAGATATAATTTATTAATAGATACACCTAAATCAAAACCACCTCCAACTGCTCGAAAATCAACAACCAATTTTGCTTCATTGTTGCCCGACGATTTCTGTCTTCGGACGGATGGTCCACCACGAACGTTTAAATCTGAAGCATCAGGTGGAATAGGTGATTTGCAAAAAGCTGCAGTAGCGAAAGACATTGATCCAACAGTGTTGAAAGTAAGAATAAATTTAATTTGAAGTCATTTTTTTTTGATTTTTATAAATAATATTTTAGGTTCGAGAATGGACTGAAGGAAAAAAACGGAATATTCGAGCATTATTATGTTCATTATCAGATATAACATGGCCTGAATGTAAGTGGGGTGGTTGTCAAATGAGTGAATTACTAACATCTGATCAAGTTAAAAAAGTATATAGAAGAGCTGTACTTTATATTCATCCAGATAAAGTAATTACGCAACAAATATGTGAATGTTTATTTTTTCTAAATTAAATCTTTTCTTCTTTTTTTATTTCTAAAGCTTCGTGGTGATCCAAATGAACCATTAGCAAAACTTATTTTTGTTGAATTAAATGAAGCTTGGTCACAATTTGAACAACAAGGGGTGTAGAAATAATAATATTTCCATTTTGAATACAAAAAAAACTAAAATTTCTTATATTTTGATTGTTTATTATGGCACATTTCTGTTTCTTTTACAAAAATAAAATAAAAATCTAGTAGCTTTGATAAAGCTAAACATGCATAAATATTTTGTAATTTAATCACTATTCAAATTATTTCTATTTTCTTTTCTTGCAGTTTAAAAACAGCTTTATTTTTAATAAAAAATAAATATAGAAAAATAATATATTAATTATTATTATTTATAATAAATAAGCATATTTAGTCACTTTTTCTATCTGTTTCTTGAAACTAAAACAATATCGATATATATATATATATGTAGTACAATTTGATATTACTGCATGTGTATTGTATAAATATGATTATATACTACAATAGATTTTGGTTTCTGCACTATTAGTTGTTCTTATATGAATTTAATATTGTGATGCTGCACCAAGACTTCCGAAGAGTCCGACACGTTCTCGACTAATTGATCTTGGTCTACGTATAATATTATCATAGGTGATATTTCCTTTCTGAACTGGTACTTCTTCTGTAGTAGATCTTCTGAGATAATGACGACGTCGAGGTCCAGGACCAAAATTAAATGGAGCAGCTTGTTCGTCTTTTGGTGTTGTTAATCCTTTGATAACATCTTCTAATGCACTTATTTTATTTTCAAGTTCTTTCATTTGTAAACGTGATTTGATATCATGATCTTTCAGTTGAATAATATCATTTTCTAAGGATTCACATCGATGACCAAGACATTCAACTGGTGTAATATGATCAGTTTGTTGTTTTCGAAATAATCTATTTTTACATAAACGACATAAATAATTAATAGCACTTCGATCAGGTTGATTGTGTTCTATTAAATTAATTGTAGTATTTAAATCACAAACAGATGCTGTATCAGTGAATGCAGTATATTCCATATTATCTTAAAATACAATAAAATGTAAGAAAACACTCCTTACTTTGTCAAGTCACGTTTATATGAAAACAAAAGAAGATTTTTCATTGCGTATATTAATCGATTAAAGGTAAAGAAAGCACAATAATACATAGGCGTACTCCATAATAGGATACCCCATTGATACTTTTTTTCTATTGTAACGATAAAATATAATGTTATTCGGGTCACATGAGAAAGACTCATCGATAACCCTTCACTGGCCCGAAACATACAATGACGCCATTTATATACCCAAGAATGTTACCAAACTCCTCTCAAGCGTATCAGACGGTCTATAAGCAAAATAAATATATCGATATTGTGTTTATTTTTGATGTTTATTAATCAGATTTTTAATTAAAGCTCTTAAATTAAAATGAAATATTCGAGAAATCTGTTGAAGACACAAAAGAAATCCATAGAAATCTATTGTAATAGAACCAGAAATATAAACACCTTGATCAATAAGTAATGATAGAATTTGATAGAAAATACCATTCAATTCAAGACGAATATGAACTTTATTTAATTTCCTATTTTGACAAATACATTTAATAAATGTTGAACAATTCATTTTTGAATAAGAATTATCATTCGATTTGTCACTATATTCAATGAAATATTGTTCAAGACGAAACAAATCTTTATTGTATTCATCTAATAATATAGTAGAAGAATCAAGAGCATTATTATTTTGATTTTGATTATTAATGAAACATGTTCGACGTAAAAGCTATGAAAAGAAAAACTTCATTCATGGAAAATATATTCGATTAAAGTTACTTTATTATAAAGATATTCGTTACTAAATTGATTTTCTTTAGCTATATGTTGAATATATTTGATAAATTGAATAAAATTCATTGGATTTTTATTTATTTGATTTAATTTAGTTATTAAACCTTCAGTATTTTTAAAAATAAAATTATTAAAAATTTCTTGATCTAATAAATGATCTTTATTATTTGTTAATGACAAAAATAATTGATAAAGTTTTTCTAAAGTTGAATTAGAAGATTTCGATATTTCATCTAACGTAATAGATGATTCATTACACATAGTATTAATTGATTTCAATAAATGATGAATCTTTCCAGATAGTTCATCTAAAGACCAGTTGTCTTTCTTTTGAATAACAGCTGCTGATCTTTTTCTACCCTGTTGATTCAATGATTTATGTTTAGAATGGAGAACATTTTCTTTGGTTGTTACAGATGCATTCATTATTTAAATAATATGACAGAGAGAGAACGCATGATGCGCCAAATCATTTCTTTTAATATAAGAAAAACAAAAATGTCATACGGTGTAGACTCTAGATTTTCAAAATATGTATCAGATTATAAAGAAGAGTTTTTAAGCGCTTTTTATTTTTTTTTCTTCTTGGTATTTGTTTATTATTCTACTTTGCAAAATTTTCTCATGGCGGCACCAATAGCAGTAGTGGCTATTTATGTATATAATATTATAAGCTTTATTCAATGGGGTAAAAATATTATTCAAAAAATTTTCAGTAAAGAAACAACTACAACAACGATTGCATCTCGAATAATAATCGAAGATACTACAAGTATATTTTCTAGAGATAAAATATTTGTTCATAATTATCGAATTGTTTTCGTTTCAATTGAAATTAGAATTTGATTATGAAAATTTAAAGCCAAAGAAACAATATAAATCGAATGATCGATCAGCTTCGTCAAGTTCTGGTTCATCTATTAGTTTCGTACTCATTATTGCAATTATCCTTGCCGTTGTAGCTTTTATTATCTATCGAAAACGAATTGAAACTAATGAGAATAAATTCAGTTTTGAACAAACTGAAAAATATTTTGAAACATCACCTAGTCCACCAACATCAGAAACCGAACCAAATCATTCATCAATGTGGTCAACTATTCCTTCTTCATTACAACGATCGACATTAACTATTGTTTGATGATAAACTATCTTAACTCTTGTCGTCCGAAAGGTGTCAGTATTTATCAACTATCGTAATTAAATGAAAAAGTATAAACTGATAATATGAATATATAACTCAATGAATAATCATTATTGAAAAAAATTTAATCTTCTGAGAATGATTTTAAATAAGCGATATAATTCGATATTAGTCATTCTGTATTTATGGATTGGCTCTAGACCAGCAAAATCAATTAACACTATCTACGTGTTGTATTTCTGGTCGATTATGTAATTTTTTTGAGCTTAGCTTAATAGATATATGATGCGTGTTAAAACTTGTATTTGGTTAACTTTATTTATTTTTATTTTTTCTATTGTTGTTATTTATATATCCCGTGGGACTAATACTAAAGTTGAAATGGGTTCTATATTATCTTCATCGGATTCACCATCATCATCATCAGATTTATCTGTTGCTGATCATATTCAACAATTAATTAAGAAATACCCAGTTATGGTTTTTTCGAAATCATATTGTCCTTATTCAACAAAAGCTAAAAGTATTTTATCAAGATATAAATTAGGGAATAATTATCATGTTCTTGAACTTGATCAATTACCATCAAAAGCAGATGCTTATCAAGATGAACTTGGAAAATTAACAGGTGCAAGAAGTGTACCACGAGTATTTATTGGAGGAAAATTTATTGGTGGTGGAGATGATACAAGTGCATTAGAAAAACGAGGTGAATTGGTAAAATTATTAAAACAAGCTAATGCTATTGTTGATTAATGATACAATTTAGTAATTTTTTGTTTTGTAATGGATTTAGTGACATTAAAAAAAATTAATTTCAAACACTCTATTTCATTTTTATTAATATATAACCATCATTTTCTGTTTTTTTAATAAACATCTATATGACATTGTTATTTGTAATAAACAATAAAGTTTATTTTATCGTTAAGATATTGATATTCGTTGAGATGTCGCTGAAGATTAATCGGAAGAAAAAAAAGATTATTTAAAAGCTGATTTATTTCGTAATTTAGATTTTTTAAATATTTAAGAATTTGTTTGTATAAGATTTCAATTATTTAATATATTGATTGGTCGAAAATGACAATGATGAGTCATTGGTGAACCGACTGTTTAACCCCATTCATTTTTTTTATTGTCTGTAGTCATTTTATAAATTGTATCACGTTAAAGATGGAGTCGAACATTTTTCGAAAACAATAATTTTTTTATTTATATACATATTTATCTTTCGAATATTCTATTCTAGATGCAGTCTCGTTTAGTTAGTAAAGTTCGTTCCGGTTTGGAAAGTGTTGGTCTAAAAAAACATCGAAGTGATAGTCATTCGAAAAGTGGCGAGTAAGTAATTTATTTTCTTATGTATGTTAAAATAATAACGTTTTTTCTTAGATCAGATAAACCTAAACGTAGTAAAATTTTAGCATTAATATTAGCTGGTGGTGAAGGTGGTCGTCTTGATGTTCTTACTGAACAACGAGCTAAACCAGTTGTTCCATTTGGTGGAACTCTTCGTTTAATTGATTTTTCCATGAGTAATTGCCGTCATTCACATCTACCTGATGTTTGGATTATTGAACAATATGAACTTCATGAATTAAATGAACATCTAGCTAATGGGCGTCCATGGGACATGGATAGAACATATGGTGGTCTTCAAATATTACCACCATTTGATGTTCATGATAAAGATAAAAAAGATGGTGGTAAAGATGATAAAGATAAAGATAAAGACAAAGACAAAGACAAAGACAAAGATCAAGGCAGTGGAAGTAAAGATAAAGATGATGGCAAAGACAAGGACAAAGACAAAAAGAACAAAGATGGAAATGATAAAAGTAAATTACTCCTTTTATTTTATCTATGCATAGATTTTTCTAACCGTCTAAATTACTAAGATGTCTTTATATGAAGGCTAACCGAAAAGATAATTTCTTATCAGTGATGACAGTAGTTGGGAAAACTAATGTTTTTCTTTGAGTTGTATTTTATTTTACCGGGATTATATTTTTCATCTTTTATATTAAATACTTATGAATTATAATTAAATAGAAAGTGATGAACATGGTGGATTCGCTGAAGGCAATGCAGATGCTATTTACCGACATCGTCGTTTACTTAATAAATTCGCACCTGATCTTTTAGTAGTTTTAAGTGCCGATCATGTTTATAAACTTGATTTTCGTGATGTTATCGATTTTCATAAAGAACATCAAGCTGATGTAACAATGGTAACAACAAAACTACCAGAAGGAGATACAGCTACACGTTTTGGTGTTGTTCAAGTCAACGATGAAGGTCGTGTTACAGATTTCGAATACAAACCAAAACAACCAAAATCTGATCTTGTTACAGCTGAAGTATTTGTTTATGATTATCCAAAATTAATGGATACACTTGATAGTTTATCTGATGATGGAGAATTAAAAGATTATGGTGAAGGTTTATTACCACAATTAGTTAAAGAAGGAAATGCATGGGAATTTCGTTTAAATAGTTATTGGAGAGATGTTGGTATTCCAGAAAGTTATTGGCAAGCAAGTATGGATTTAATATTACAAAAAGGCGATTTAAATTTAGATGATCCAGAATGACCTATTCTAACACGTAGTGCAGTAAGAAATTAATTCATATTTTAATAGATATTCTATTGATTGTTTTTCATATTTTAGCAACGTTTACCAGCACATATGCTTAGTTCAGCTCGTTTTGAAAATAGTCTGATATCACCTGGTTGTACAATTAATGGTACTGTTATTCGATCAATTCTTGGACCAGGTTGCATTGTTGATGCAGGAGCAATTATACGTGATTCAATTCTCTTCGATGAAGTTCATGTAGAAGAAGGAGCAACTATTGAACGATCGATAATTGATGAAAAAGTTGTTATTGGTAAACAGGCACTCGTTGGAGGTGGAGCAAAGAGAGATATAACAATGATTGGAAAAAAAATTAAGATTGCTCCAGGTACACATGTACCAGCTGGAGAAAAAATTAGTCCTAAAAGAATAAAGGATTAAATTCTGATATTTGATTTTTAATGTATTATGGTGTATGTTTTTTTCTATTCGTTTTAGTTTTTTTTTGTATATTCCATTCAAGCGAAATAAAAGTATTTACTTGTTATCAGTAGTTTATTACGTTTATACCTTTATAATAGAGATTATACATAGAGAAACTATATTACACGAAAGAGTAAATAGTTTAGAATAGAGAAATCAATATTTAGATAATACAGATTATGTATGTTATTTCATTTTTCTAAATTAACGTATTTTCAAAGTCAGAATATATATTAATATGATTAAATTTGAGTAATTAATTACTTGATAGAAAATAATCTTATCTTCGACATAAATTCTCGATATAGTTTTATTTTCTTCTCTACATCTGATACTTATTTTGCAAATGAATGTGGTATTAGTATCTGTTCAAAGATTTCATTTGCAGTATGAGTCATACCACCAGATCTTAACTCATTCGTTTGTTGACCAATTTCAATGGGCCATGTAGTCCAACTTGTTATTGCAATATGCGTATCTTTATCAACAATATTCTGATTGATTAAAAAATTTAGAACATTAATTAAACTAAGTTCTTGCATTTGATTTCGAGTTAAATTTGGATATTTTGATTTTGCATCTAAATTTAATACAACTTGTGAATGATCTGTCAGAAGAATTTCTGCAACACAATTATCAATTTCTACACATTGATCAACTAGATGAATTCCAAATGAAATATTCAATGAATTTAAAATTTGTTTATTCATATGAAGAACTTCTAATGAATACGATGTAAAATATGTTAAATCCATATCCATATAAACAACTTCAGGACAATTATTTACAGAACAGAGTAATTCTACTAAATCTTTTAAATGTTGTGTATCTTCATGACAAGGATTAGTAACATAACGATAAGCATAATCAAATTGTTTCGAATCATTAAATTTTTCATATAATAAATCTAGACAATGTTCATCTCTCCATTCCCAACCTTCAATAACATTCCAATTGATTTGTATTCGTGGAATTTTTGTCGAATTAAATTTTTTATTCATAATAGATAGATATTTTATATAATCATGCATTAGATTTAAAATACGATTTGTACCTGCTTGAGGACAATTGTCAACACGTGCTAATGTTTTTCTATCTGTCCAAGAAAGATTTGGATATAACCATTGTGGTGGATTACTTGATATATTCATTAATTTATTATAGTCAAGATAAGGAATTAAATTTGGCATTCTTTCATCAAAATTTAAGAAATCAGGAGTATATG